GCTGTATAAATCCTCTCCACAAAAAGGGTGGAAAGTCTGAGGAGAATTGCCAAATAATCAATTCGAGATTTCTTGAGCATGTCTGAAAATCAATTGTCTTCCCTTCTCAACAAGGACTCTCTAACAAATAACAAATAAAGTCTCTAGCTCTTACAGGTTCTACGATCTCGGACAGACGGACTTGACTAGATCGATTCGGCTATCGATCCTGACCAAGAATATCTACTTTATCTGCCTGCTGGCTGTTAAATGTACTAACACTATTACACATTCTGCCAATTATCAGTGGCTTGAGGAAATGAACAGCGGAAATGTTGCCTTGTTTGTGTTTTTTTATTAATTTGTTAAATGAGGGCGGGTAGGGAAGAAGATACGTGGTGAACATGTAGCTGGCCTAGCCCAGACGTACGCGAACAAAGTCGCGTCGGAAATTGCTAGTATATATAAATAAAGCATTATATACGCAGCATATAAAGCCAGCTGCCAATTGGTGTGAAGTGTTTATGGCTGCTGTGTATTTCACCCCCGAGCCTGGCGAGGGTGAGTCGTAGCTTCTTGCAGTCACTCTCGCTCTGTATGTTACTTACTGTTCCGTACTTTGGCTCTAATCGCTTCTAATAACGCACAAAATTGAAAAACTTATGCGATATCATTGGGGACTTAAGCAACACGACAAGTGCAGCTGCTGGAGGGGGGGACTGGACCGAACTGAACTGGACTCGACAACTTGAGCAACTGTGACAACTAAAAGCAATAGGGGAAAAAAGAAAACAAGGCAAATGGAGAGTGGAGAGTGGAGAGTGGAGCGTGGCACAACTGTCATGATATGCCGTAAACATGACCAGCTGTAGCTGTAGCTGTGGCTGTGGCTGTGACCGTGGCTACTGGCAGCAGAGCTGGGTCTGAACCTGGTGCTGGACCCTGAGACCAGAGACCAGAGACCGAGTCTGGGACTGGGACTGGGACTGAGCCTGGTCCAGGATTCCAGTCACATGGACACATATTGAACTCTGGCGGGCTGGCGTGCTGTCGTTCTGGCCGTCTGTCGCTGTGTTTGTATTTGTTTCTGCAGTGTGTCACTTTGGTAGTTGTACAGATTGTACAACAGTTAGAGAGCGTACGGCGTCTGTTTGTTTTAATTTCTCTTATCGGCAGGGCAGGACTGGCTCAACAGCAGATGCCCTTCTGGATGCAGAGCCCAATCCGGCCCCTACTCCCCGATGCCATACAATTTTAATTGCACAATGGCAGTTCTTTTGTTTTGCAGCAACAATTTTAAAATGAATTCATGGCTTGTGTGCCGGGCGCTCTATTGTTTGACGGCTCTAAATCCGCAAGGAGTTGACTGCAAATAGAACTTGGCCGAGCCCAAGGACCCGAGAACTAGCATCTAGGAGCGAGCTATTTAATTGAAACTTGCTGTGCGACTCCGTTGGGCCAGCCAATAAAATGTTTAACTTTGATTTAGTTAAGGGATTTCAAAATAAATTCGTTTTAAGCACGTTAAAAATCATCAAAGCAACAAATCTAGCACAAGTCAAAGCAATATACATTTATTTAAAGACTTTAAAGGTTCCTCAAACAGATTTTGCTGGAAAATTATTAATGCATATTTGTATTGCTGCAGCAAATCTTTTTGCCAGCTCAAACTTTGATTATTTTAAGAAAAGATAAGGAACATTTAAGAAATGTCGGCCTTTGAGTTTCAGAGTTATTAACACTCTCTCCCTTGAACAAATTCATCAAAGAGGGAAATCCTTTCCTTTCCTTGTGGCTAATGAATATGTGCTTCAAGCACTTTTAAATTCCATCCGCAAGCTTCACACCACGGAACTAATTGACTTTCGCTTTTCAACCTCAATATTTTAAAATATCTGTGTAAAATACAATATGGAGTGAAAGATAGTATGGATATTCTTACAGTTTATATCTACAATTTAAGGCACACACTAATAGAATTGTTGTATAAATACAAATATTTAGTTGGATTTAAATAGTTTTGCTTAGCCCTCACCCATTGGTAGCTTTGTCTTAAGCGAATGCTCCTTAAAGAGTATATACCATAATAAAAGTTGAACACATATGAGAGGCTGGAGAGCATTAGAAAAGCCCATCTAAGAATTCTCTATCAAGTACTTCATCAGTTTGTAAATGGAGCACTCGCATTCACTCTGTGCATCTGCCACTATCTTGTTGAGAACTGTTGTTGGCCTGGGCTGGTCGTAAAGTCGCACACATTCTGTTAGCCTCTTAATGAGCAGCTCTTAACATTTGGGTCTAATCCCAGGACAAATCTGCGGGAAGTGCGTTTGTGTGTGTCGTAAACATGTTTTCTATCTAAGATGCGGCTGCTGGCGGCAACAAAAATCCCACAAAAAATAACGGACCACAAAAATTAAACAGCCGCCTGACGACTTAGCTGAAAATGTCCAATAAACACATATATCTGACCCCGAAACATAAAAACCTGCTCAGTCGATAACATTTTATAACTCGGCCAAGTGCCATAACTCGCTGTAATGGCCAAGAGCAGCCCCCGCCCCCATGCAAGGGCTGTGTTCCTGGCAAGAGTTTCAGCCTCTTGCTAATGAATTAAAGCCCCTGTTAATAAAACTTAAGCAGGCAGTCAGACATAGCATTAAAGATAATAAATATTTGCATAAAACAAACAAAACTAAACCACAAACTGGCAGCCATAAAAATAAACTTGAAATTATTTTACACTTGGTCATAAACTCATATAAATTTGGGCGCATAAATCAAATTAAAAAAAAAAACCGACAAAAAAACAAAAACACAAAAAGATGAAAACCAAAGGTCGCATAATTTAGTATAAGGCACCACGGCACCTACATCAGCCAAACAAGGATAAATAAGAGACAAGAAAGTAAAATGTTTATTGGCAGTCGAAGTCTTAATACCCTGCCAGCCAAAAATAAAATGTACATATTCAAGCTCTTTCATGAATGTTTATTATAGAAGGGACATAGTTAAACATGAAAAGTCATGCTAAGCTTGGCTTGTTTTGAAATATCAAGTATTTCTAGTGAACTTTGCAAAGGCGTCTATTAAAGCAATAAATTAAATGGAAATTAATTATGTTTGGCATGCTGAGTAGGCTGAGGCTGTTATTTATTTTGCTAAGAAACCAAATCCACAATCTCTAGAGTCTGCCGTGACACTCTTGGCCAAAGCAAAAAGCAGCAGCTAAAGTAAGTTTTTGCCAAGTCCACTTCCATATCGACATTCCAATTAGAAGCATACAATAAAGTGGGTAAAAAGCCGCTCACTAATGATATAGGATTATATTAGACACATTTCATGAAAAGTTATGCTACCCCTGGCTGAGAGTGTAAAAACCAAACGGAAAATAACAAAACAAAAAAAAAAACAAAAACAAAAACCAAAACAGAAAGCAAAAAGTGTTAATGAACAAAATAATGAGTTCTAGTGCCCAGTTTTCTGCCACAAAACATTTTATGACACTAACAGCTAAACGCCACGGGGATAACTTCAGCATCAGAGCCACAACAACAACAACAACGGCACACACACACATATGGAGAACCACACACACATAACTAAAACAAGAATGAATGGCCATTTTTAACACGCCGAAATTTATATACCCTTGCAGACTTGTCGCAATTGTTCCCTTAAACGCAAAATGATATAAGAATTAGTCATTAGTAATTGCCAAGCTTGGACGAGATAACTTGAATAGGGATATATCAGGAAATATCAGGAAATATAAGACTTAACTTAACCTAGCCAAAGTTTCAAATAAACAACTTTAAAGGAGACTAGCTTGCAGCAAATTAGAGAGACTGACAGAGGGGTGCCTGGCAATATCGACTCGGCTGATCGAGAATATTTATTCTTTCGATATTGCTAACTTGATTTTGGCTTATGTATTCATATGTCGAATGTCATAGATAGGGATAGGTAAAGAATTGACAGTTGAGTGGAGTGGAGACTACATACTACGTGCTCTACTGTGTAGATCAATAGTTGGGAAATTCGATACAACTCTACACTCTACCAAAGAAATTATAACAAGGTTTCAAAATATCATTAAGAACTTCATTGAAGTTTTAAATGTACTTGAATCAAGAATAAAGCCCTTTTTTAAAGTACTTTTTCAGCTCACTTTTAACTTTTAAATACCATGAAAATAAATTGCAATTTAAAGTAAGAAATACTTGATATTTTGACAAATTACAATAACCTCTGAAAGGGTATAAAAAGTGAGCAAGCGATAGAGAGAGAGAGAGAGAGAGGACACGCTGCACGCTGGCAATAAATAATCAGGAAAGTTTTCGTTGAATCGAATTATCACCCCCTGAGGTGCAGTTCCGTAATGAATTTGTTTTGGGGTTTTCTTCGGTACGGCATTTAGTTTCATTACGTTTTGCTTTGGCTCCACTGCGGCTGCGTGACCCAACTAGTCTAACCGACCCTCCCCCCACACCTCACACACACACACACACCCCCCAACCACCCTGGAAAACTAACTGACGGCCCTGCAGTGTGGCTGAGTCGGTTTTTGATTCAGTTTGCTCAGTTGGTTTGTTTATTTGTCCGTTTCTGGCACTCTGTAGAGTTTTATTAGTTTGTTTGTTGTTCGGTTTTGTGTGTTTTTTTTTTATAGACAGCTTCTCTGGCTCTGTTTAGTACGGCGTATATATGTTTACAGTATGTAAATCTGCGGGCGCATATTCATTTGATTTGATGTGTTCTCTGTTGGCCAACAATTGTTTGCTGTCTGGGTCTGATTTTTTTTTTTGGATTGTGGGTTGTTTTGGCATTGATTTTATTGGCCCAGCTTCGATTTGTTGACTAAATGCGAAATTGAATTTTGGACCAATACGAAATAAAGCTTAATTTTTTTTTAGATATCAATCTTATTCTTTTATCTCTAATGTGACCAGAAACAACTTGCAATTATTTTCTAAAGTTGTATTTCCAAAAAATATACAAAAACCAAATTAGACATAAAATATTAGCGCACGCACGATTTTGTGTATTTCTTAAATAGTATCCATAAAATTAAAACTATGAAAAAGTTGTTATAAATTGCACTTAATCCGTAAAATTCCTCTATTGGTAAAATCCCAACTTATTTTGGCTCATTTTCCCGAATGATGTAAAAATGGAATGTGCCGTGCTTATTGGAGAAACAAGCGATATGCGGCATTGAGAGCAAGAAACACATTTCTACCCGTGGATCGCCCATACTGGGAAATTTGTCATCAGTTAGTTCCCTGTAAGCAGCTGCAAGGAACAAGAGAGACAAACTCAAGACAATTAGCTTCCCAATAATATTTTGCGCTTGAAACTTACCACGTATCTGGGCGAGAGTCATAGTATGGTCAGGTGTGGTGCACTTGGCATTCAATAAGACACGCCCCACATTGGTCAGTATATTGGGATGATAGCGTCTTACCTTATAGAAATAATTATCTAGAGCCATTATTAAAATATAATCAGATTTATAAAAGACTAAAATTTGAGACTTGTCCACACAGTTTGCTGTCTATAAATAAAATGATAAAAAGGTCACAGCACTCTCTGTATACCTGTTTTATCATACTAGAAATTCCCACCACTTTTCTTTTCCCTCCCACTGCTCAACACGACAACACACGTTTTTCACTCCCTCTTTAACTCGAACTCTCTCTCACTCTCACTCTCTCGCTCTCTGCATCAGTCTCTCAATGCGTTTGTTCCTCCACCATTTCTGGTGGTGGGTTTCTTTCAAATTGAGATCGTTGACCGTTTTGAGCAAGTTGGTGGTGAAATCAATCCGTGCGCGTGTCTTGGCTAGCCTTAGTGCAGACACAAACCTCAAACTGTTATACAGGGGCAAAAGAAACACAGAAATTTGTAGACCATTGACCAACCGCACATCTGAATTAAATACCCTATATATATTTTAATAGGCGAGCTCGGTACTCCTTACCTGAACTTTACCAAACGGCATGCCGAGCGCGGCGATAAAAAACTTTTACCACCATTATTATTCAGCGTTAAGGCTGCATAAAAAGTAAGAAACAGTAGCGAAAGATGGAGGGGGTTGAGAGTTTGGGAGAAAGCATGCAAAATGACTTCAGACAAAAAAGTTGTTCTTACAATATTTTCACACTTGCGGCAAACGAAGAAGCAAAATAATTACAAACTTGGGGGCGAGGTAGACAAAAAGGACAACAGCAGCCGAAACCACACGCAAAGGCAGCACGAAATAAGGCTGAAGGAAATGTAGCGTATAGGCCATCACATACCCTGTAGTCAACGAAAAAGTGTTATAAACTTAATTTTTAAGGTGTACTTTCATATTTTATAATTTTAAGGTTCTATATGAACAACCGAAAATAATTGTATATAAAATAGTTTTTAGATCTATAAATTCTGCTTTGTTCATTTTATCACCAGATAAAGGGTATAGAAATATTAAATTAATTTTTATTCAGTATTTTTTTTTTATGATCATATTAAAATCCTGTTGAAGGTCGAACTCTGAGGGGATTTCGGGGACAAACAAGTCGACAAAGTCATTTTAATTTAAGTTGTGCAACATTTCAACACTTTGGTAAGTGCATTTTCACAGCCTGCCTTTAGGCGCTTTCACTGCGTTAGTTGCGTTGTTTCTCTCTCCAATGCCAACGATGCACACACACACACACAGCTCACTCAGTAAAAGGTGTGGGTGTGTATATGTGTGTGTGTGTGCGACAATTTGGGCTTCGTGCAACGTTCTTAATTTAAATGTTGCCTATTTTTGGGCCATTTTTGGCAATTCGCATATTTTGTGGCCAATATTTGTGGGCAATATTTGTGGCACTTAATATTATTGCATACTTTAATTGCTTTTATTTGCCTAGTTTACAGTTAAATCACCTTAAAAGCAGTTTAGAGGGAATAAATATATATTATTTTACGCCAAACACAGAAGAGAGCAAATTAAATGTGCCTTTTAATAAAACATTTTCAAATTTCATATAATCTATATATAATTGCAATTAAATTTATTTGAGCAATTTTTATGACATTCTAGACAAAATTGAATGCTCTTTAATACCAAATTTCGTCACGCTAACAAATTAATTTTTTTTACAAAGTCTAGATATACGAGATATATGAAATTGACAGAGATATTTAAACATAATAAGAGTTTAAACCAAATACACATTTTTACTGATTATTTCAATAGAAGCAAGTCAAATAAATGCACAGTTGTATGACGACAGCTTTAATCAGACAGACAGACATTTCAAAGCTAACAATCCTGATGTTTACATGTCTACATATAGTCCTATCTCTTTAGAGTAGCTTTTTAGGAAACTAGAACTCTGTCAATTGAAACTCAAAAACCGCAGTGTTTGCAGAACTGGAAGGGAGCTATGTGAATCTCACGCTCCAGCTCCTAATGCCCAGCTGCCATTGAAGAGCTTCCTACAGGAAAGGAAACCCAGAGACCTCTTGTTAACAGGCTTAGGCTCAGCTTTGCCTTTTGAAGAATTTTTAATTTTAAAATAAATATAGTCCAAAGAGAACAAGTAAATATATAAATATAATAATATACCTTTCGGCGCAATCTCAACCGTGGGCGTCGATAAACAAAGAGGTCTATCTGAGAAATTTGGCTAGAAAGAAGAAGTCGTAAATTTAAGGCAATGCCAGCTCATTAAGAGCTCGCCTTCTGGGCTATCTGCGTAAGAACACGCTTTTATCAATTTGTATTGTTCAATGTTATTTAGTTTGCAATAATTTATTATTATATTATTATAAAGTAAGAACTGCCAACTCAAGTTTTTACCGCCAAAGGCTTCTTCCCAAATATGTTTGCTATTTGTTTAGTCAGACGATTTTGAATTAGAAATCATTATGAATATCTGATATATCTGGATTCCAATGCTGAAGCACCTTTCATTCAGCCGGCTTGCATCATCCGCTCAGCTTGTTACGGCCACGCATCATAACTTGAAGCTCATTAAAACACATGCGCCGCTAGGTGAATGACAGCGAAATGTAAAAACTGCGAACACAGTCAGCAAAACTATACCACACACACACACACACACACATCCAGGCATACACATGCGCGCATATGTGAGCTGTAATTGCACACACACACACACACACTAGCACTCTCTGAGGTATCTGCGCATTGTGCATTTTGTGAATAAAAATTTGCAACGAACATAAAATTCGCTGCGGAAGTTATTTCACGCTTGGAGCGAACCTCTGCCGCTGTTTGGGGAGGCGGCACGTCAAAACTAACTAACGAAGTAACAAACGCCCAAGTGGGTGGCTGTAGTAGGGACAGAGCGCTGCTGAAGAGCTGAAGAGTCAGGGGAGGAATTAAGCAGCGTAACAAGCTGTCAGTATATGAGTCACTGTTATTGTATGTGTGTGTGTGTGTGCGTGTGTGTGTGCGTGCCTGTGTATATATGATTACAGCGTAATTGGTTTCAAGTTGCGGCCACGGATACATGCACAAAAAGTCGTTGCAACAAGTTTAATTAACATAAAATATGCAGCAACAACAGCAACAACAAAAACTTGCATTTAAAATCAAATTACTGAGCGTCGGCTTCATGTTTGCATGTATGCGCGTGTGTGTATCTGTGTGTTTTTTAATACTATCAATTTTACTGTAGCATACTTCTCGGGGCTCTGGCCATTGGCCATTCATAATTTGTAGAAAATCATTTTTCCGCTGTTTTCTCTTATTCATTTCTATAAACACAGCAAGAAAACCTTTTACAATTGTTGTTGTTATTGTTGTTGTTGTTGTTGTTGTTGTTGTTGTTGTTGTTGTTGTTGTTGTTGTTGTTGTTGTTGTTGTTATTGTTGTTGTTGTTGCGGCCGACGCATTTATTAATTCCAATCCATTTGCGCACTTGATTTACGCCCCACATAAATCCCTTAATAAATGAAGCACTCGCAGGCACTTCGAGGTCGTAACTGCCTCTTGGCTACCAATACACACACACACACACACACACACACACGCACACACGTTCATTTAAGCAATTTGCTGTTCTGCATTAATAATTGCAATATTCTGCAAATGGAACACAACAGTCGGCACATTTTCTTGGATTATTAAGTATATTCTGAAAATCAATTTCAGTTCAATTCTCAACATTTTTGATATCTTCGAATCTATAAGCTGCCTTAAAGTTAAACTTGGAATTGTTCAAAAAGCTTTGGAAATTCTTAAGAATTTGATTTGTAAAAAGACAACATTGTGTGTAGTTTAAGGTGGACATGACCACTTCTCTCCGTGGTAAGCATCTTTATTATCATTATCATTGAAATGTCATCAATAGTTGTGCAGCATTAGCCAGATAAATCTTAAGCACTTATATGTTCCAATTTATGGACAAAAGATAGTCATCAGATAGTCAGTTATAAATAGAGATAGATAGATGTATATGATATATGGATTGATGGACTTCAGCTTAGCTTAGCTCAAACAGAACAAATCAATTAACCAAATACAGTGCCAAATGCAGAACTGAATTTGGCTAGCATTGCACAATTTGTTCAACTGTCAAACTGTCTAATTGAGTGTAGACCCACACACACACACACAGCACACCGCAACACCTGAATGAATCGAAGTTTTACTTGACAAGTCTCAATATATACATATATATACAAATGTATGTGTATATACACATAAACTGTGCTCCATATCTACCCAATCGACTGTCTCTGTCGTGTGCAATCAATTTCAACTAAATACCGTCTTCATGCATAATTGCTTGCCCGTGTGTGTGTACAGTGTGTGTGCGTGGGTGTCTGTACTTATAGAGCGTGCTTAATATGGCAATTAAAAGATGATTCCAATTAAGAGTTTACTGTGTGCATGGCACAATACACGTATCTGCCACGCCCCATTGTGCGCAAATTGCATTAGCATTAGGGCGCAGAGCTCTATTAATTGCCATAATAAACAGGACATGCCCAGAAATTAGTTAAATCAAGTACACATTGTAATACAATTTAAACCTCATGCCCGCAACTAGCGTGCAATCAGAAAATTACTTTTGAATAAACCAAAGAACAAGAGATGCTAAATTCCCTACAAGCACACAAAATAAGCTGGCTCGACTTGAAGCTATGCTATAACATAACTGACAGACTGAGATTTTCGAAAATTTAATTAATTATAGCTTAAAGAGACTTTAACATGTGCTTAATTAATGTCAGAGGGTTGTCTTTGATACTGGAATAGAGTACATGATGATACATTTTTAAAGCATGCGAATTAGCTTAACTATTCTATCTATTCTTCACCCTTTCGGGCTGAGCTGAGCCAGGCCTTGGCAGACTTTTTTCGTGTAAGTATTTGCCAATCTTGGTTAGACTCTTCTGCCATCGTCAGTTGGTTACAGGGTAGACAAATAATATAATATTGCAGCCCTAATCTATAATTAAATCGTGTAAACTTTCGGCTGCGTTTACACGAGTGCATTAATATTAATTGCTTATATTTAGCACTATTAAATAGCTTAATTAAATTTCC